TCATCCTTCGTCTTCTGGAGATTAAGCATCCTAAGTTTCTAACTGAATGTGTCCTGAATAGAATCAAGTTGCTTCCAAATCAATAGATTTGGAATCTGTCACAGAAGACAGTGTTTTGTGAAAGTTTAGTTTATACAGTATGCTTTACTGTACATACAGTAAAACAGTAAAACATATATACAGTAAAATATATACAGCAAAGCATATTGGATAAATAGTACAACATAGATATATGTGTGTGTGTGTGTGTGTATATATATATATGAAAATATGAAAAGTTCCCAGCCTCTCTCATAAAAGTTCTTTCCTGGCAGACTTGAACTGAATATTGCAGTGTTTCCTTTCCGTCTACTTGTGAATCAGTCAAGATCCATTGCTTTTATATAAATAAATTATCAGCACTAATTATTTATATTAAATGGAAAAATGAGGGAATTAGGAAGAAATGTTGAGAGTAAACAAAAGGCTTTTAAAAGTCTGTATTGCAAATTGCTCTGAAAAGCAGTTTGGAAATATATATATATATTTAGAAATCTTCCAATGTATTCTGGAACAGGGAAAATTTCAGCATTCCAGAAATGAAAAAGGCCACCTGTTTGTCTGCAGCTGTCCTGCAAAACAGCATGGTGCTACTGGCAACTAATAATATCTCCAACTTGCAGAAGTGGCATGCACTTGGCATTTTATTCAGCGTTCTGTGCAGACGTACAGCTTGGCTTTGCTTTTGTTTTCCCTGAGTTTATCTGTATATCTCATCCAGGCCATGCACTAGCACATCTGACAAACGATGGTTCCGCAGTGCTAAGCTGCAAGTCCGATTTGGAGCATGGATACAGTGGGAATATTTTCTATACTATTGTGGCAGATGAAAGGAATGGAAGTGGGCCAAATTCAAGCTGTTTGCCATTGCATCTGATCAGCAGATCCTATGGAGGGAATTTGCCTGCTGTGAATATTTGATTCTCGCTAGCTTGAACTATCTTATGTGTTGGCAGTGCTAGTGTGTGAATTTGCAGTGGCTTTCCAGGGTGTCTGTCCCGCAGAACTTCCAATTTCTGGAGTTTTTTTACAGAGTTCAGGATTTTGTGCTCCACTTCATGTATGAGGAAAATGACCTCATGCTATACAGTGAACATTTTTTCATATTTATAGCACATGGGTTAGCAGTCTTTTAAAAACAGCAAACAGAATTATTACAAGTGAGCAGTGTATTATTTCTTCTGCCTCCCCCCACCCTCATGGAGGTGTAACCCCTCTGCCTCCCATCCTTTCTGCATTACCTGCAGGTGGTTGTCCTGGCAAAGTGATTTTGTAGAGGTGAGTCGTACGGGTTGCACAGCAGAAAGGATGAAAAGGTGATGGTGTTGAAATGCAGTTGTGAGAGCAGGAGCAGCTTTTCAGTCCCGTCCTTCCCGTGCATCCTTTTGACTCAGGGCTCAGGGAGTTGATGCCCCATGCTCCTGTTCATCCTACGCTGCTCTTCCCTGGCCCGTCTTGCTGGATTGTGGCTGGTTTTGCCTGAGAGTTTGTAATGTTTTGTGTGTTGGTTAATTTTTCTGTGCTGAACTTCAGCATAGCAAAACATTTACATTAATAACTTTTGCATTTCCAATGATTACAAGTAAATGACATTGGTTATAGTGCTGATCTAATAGTAACTGCCAGGACTCTGCTTAGGCAAGCAGAAAAGGGTTGGGGTTGTAACCTGTCATTGTATCCTGTGCTTGTGTCCTCTGTCTGTCACCACACTGAAGCATTTGTCTTCTGTAAGCAGCCTGTTTAGAGTTTATATCATTTTATAGAGAAAACATAGATGAAATTTTATAGATATCTATAGATTATAGATTTATAGATATAAAATTGTATAGACAAAAAATAGATAAATTTTGCAAAAGAAATTTAGGCTGTAATCTTGAAACTCACTATTCCTCTGGGTGTACAAGGACAAAAACCACAAGATTTTTTGGTTGAATAGTGGTGTGGACTGAAACCAAGAGGAGCCAGCAGAAGCCAGCTGCAGGTCCTCTGGGGCCGTAGGAAATGATGTGCTGACCAAGGGACCCATCCTCCATCTGCTCCAATTCTGCAACTGCAGCAAGTAACTGCTCAGAGAAAGGCGGTATCATCTCCATTTAACGTATTGAGGAAATTGTGTGTTAGTGCCTTGCAGAGGCTGCGAGAGGGACTGAATTCTGGCCGTGTGTCTCCTGAGACCACTGTAAAAGATATGGCCCTGTTGACCGCGGCACGGCAGCTGGCCACGCTGCAATCCTTGCCATTGCAGTGTGGCCCATTTGTGTGACCTATTTAACTCTGCCAAGTTGTAAGGAGCTGGACATGCACATTAGGTGGGTGTTTTCAGTCCCTTATTTAAGGTAAGGATGTTTTATATATGTTGCTGCTAGTGAATGTTTTTTGCGTTTGTTTTTGGTTTTAGTTTCTTCAACAGCAACAAAGAAGTGGCATTTTAGATGACTAAAAAAATTGTGTAGTTACACCTAACAGGTGTGGAACTATAATTTCCCTCAAAAAGTTTAAGTAAAATTTCCTGAGAACTGAAGAAACCAGGACTTGGCCAATGCAAGGTGTAGTAATCCAGAGAGAAAGCTTTCCTGGGAGCTGGGTTTTTGTGATGATTCCTTTTTCCTTTTTGTGGCTTAGCAATGTTGTTCTCCAGTGTCTCAATAGAATTAACAAATACAAATTTCAACTGTACTGAAGCAAACCAGGAAAAGTTTAGCTTTGCAGTAGTATGAGATACATTTTGGCTTGGGGATATGCAACCAAGGCAGGTTTACCTGAACATCTGTCACTTGAAAACTATTTCTTTGGTGGCTTTTTTCCTTTAAAATCCTTTTAATCAAATTGCCATTTTTAGGACCATTGGGAAATAAAACGATGAGATTGTTAACAGAAGCAAAAAGTTTCATTGCTGACTGATTGCGTCTTATTGGCAAGCGTGGTTATTTATGCCCATATCAGATACCAGCTTTCTGAGGAATTGTTTGGGTGATGGTGTTAGTGACTATTGGCAAACCTTATTGTTACGATGACCGTAAAAGCATGTAGGAAAACAGGCCTAGGGTGGTGACACTGTGTTTTTTTAAGAAGTGGGCATTTGTTCATCAACAGAAGAATCAAGTTTCCAAACTACATGGCCACCAAATGGCTTATATTTTTGTCACTGCTTATCATAACTTGGATGTGAACTTCTGGCATAAAAATGGGTGCAATTAGTTATCCCTGGAGTTTCCCCTGCTTTGATTGTTTTCTAAACTTATTAGGTTACTGTGTCCTGTATGTCCTGTATATTTTTGTCAGGAAATATTGTTAGGAACTTTTTTTGAATGCTTTTGCATTTTTATTAGATTTACACATTGCTCCACCCACCATTTGGAAGTGACCAGAACTATCCTCCATCAAAGGCTAAACACAAGACTTATTCACATTGCATTTGGAAAAATTGTAATGCAAACAGTAAGCCAGATGGGGAATTTTACAAGCATCTTTTCATGTCATGAATGATGCTGTCTCTCAGGGTTATGGGCTCTCTGCTCTCTCAACTGCTGTTCCTCTCCCCCTGGCTCCCCTCCAGAGCTGTTAAGTTTCAGCCAGGGAAGAAAGGGAGATTTGGACTCCTCTAAATTTCCAAGTCCGTATTTTTTTGCGGTGTGGCTGGTGACAGCGATCTTTGTGTGCGAGAGCGTTGGCATGCAGAGAGCCGCAGTGATTAGCATGCTGATGACTGCGCCCCGACAGAATAAACAGGGCTACTCTCGCCGAGCTGTGGCTGTGCCACCCAAACAAAAGCCTGGGAGCAGATGTGGGGAGAGCCCTGCTCGTGAATCCTGCTCTGTCACGCAGGGTGGGTAAGAACTGGATGCTGCCCAGGCTCCTCTGCTTCCCAGTTTTTACAAAAATGGAGGTCTCTGCTCCTCTCTAACTCTTCACATGGCAGCTTACCTCCAGGTGGAGGTTTGAGATGAGAGGCCTCAGAGAATATCAAGCTGTAGGTTATATCCTTACTTGTCCAGACATCTGCCACTGCAGTGGCTGATCTAGCAACGTAGATATGTAAAAGCTTGTTCCCTACTGACCTTCCAGATTTATCTGCATGAGAAAGATTCACTGGTTCTATAAAAGGGGGGCGTTGTACATGCATGCGTGTAAATAAGTATAAAACATATATTAATGTATATAACCACATACAGATGAGTCCTCTCAGTGCAATCCCATATGTCATCACTAGTATTTGGGTTGAAAGGGGCTTATATCAGTTTGTGCTTAATCTCTCTTAGTTTTGGGGGGTTTTATTTTTTACACTCTGAAAAGTGTAAATCCTTCATAAAAAGTGTTACAAAATTGGTGGTGTTTCTTCTTTACAGACAGTGGCCACGTAAAGTGTAGCTTCAGCCATTTTATTTGGGGAGAAGGCACCTACCTCTTCTTCCAGTGGCTTCTGGCTGGTTAAGGTTGGAGAGGCAAGAGACTGGTTCTGTTAACTAGGAGAAACTGGCTTGTTCATATCGACATGCAAAATGTTTTCTGAACAAACTGCTTGCTTAAATCGTGGCAGGCTCTTTCATATCTACCCTTCCTGCTCCCTTCAGAAATCCTGCCTTTTCTGCCCTGTAACATGCTGAAACTGTGTTGGCAGCTGATAGCAGTAGTTGGGGAAATTAGCAGGGTTTTTTCAGTTGAAGAAGTTGCCAACATCTGGGTTTGGAAAGAGAAAAGTCAATAAGCTTGTTACAGTTACATATTTAAAAGAAAAAAAGAAAAAGAAGTTTTGTTTCATATTTATCTGGTTTTCAAACAAAACATGTACTGACTTCTTAAATTATGTGACAGGAAATATCTTTGGTTCTTCATTTAACTAATGATACAACTGTTTGTGAGCTGTTACTAAGTCAGGGAGAGGTTGGTTCAGTAGGATTATTTTTTTCAATGAGCAAGAGTTAAAAGTTTTTTGGTTTTTTGTGTTTTTTCCTTCATTTCAGGACAATATCATCTTATTCTTAAGAGGCTGCAAAGAGCTGGGACTTAAAGAATCTCAGCTTTTTGATCCTGGTGATCTGCAGGACACATCAAACAGAGTCACCATCAAGTAAGTACAACAGCAGTTTGTGATTAGCATGTTACAACCTCAGATGCATGTGATGCAATAGTAAATATTTAAGGATGAGCAAAAAGGCTACAGAATTGTCATTTGCATAAAGCAAATAGGAAGCTGAGATTTGGGAAACCTTCAGCTCTGGGAAGAGTACATTGTTCCCTTCAACAGGCTTTCTCTAAGGGCTGTTATTTTTCCCAGAGAGATCAACCACAGCTCTTTTAAAATACTGGTTTAGTTAAGCAATGAGATTCTGTGGGACTTAGGGGTTTTCCTGAGTCTAAATTCATGGCATTCTTTTTTGTCTGTCCAACTAATGAACTATATAGGCTGGGGGGGGAAAAAATCACAGCTCTGTTATTTCAGATTAAACTGTTTTGAAGATGCGTTGTAGGACATTTATAGGCCACTCAGGCTCTACAAGGTGCAGACACGAGCACGGTCTGTTTATTTTCTAACAAGAACTATAGGTTAGGACACGATATTTGGGCTGAGGATGTCTGTGTGAACTGTTTGGACTGGAAATGCCACAGTTTAGATGCTTTTTCACCAAAGCCACACACCTACTACCACACAAATTACCACACACATATTAAATGGTTCTCCTTCCTAATAACTGATTCATGGTTTTTTTTTGGGGGGGTGAAGCGATTTTTAAAAAAAATCTCCTTTTAATCAACAGCTTTTTAGCCATGGTATGTGTGCATCCTTCACTGCAAAGAGCACTAAGTGCTTAGACTCCCATGCTTGTATATTCAGCATTTCACCCCACAAAGTGATTTAAAATAAAGATGTGAAAGTGGCATAGAAAGAATTACTGGCTTGCCTAAGGTCACACAGAGCAGGCTTGAATCAAAGTCCATATAGTCATAGATTGAGATCTTAAATAGGAACAGGGGAAGACTTTGTCATCGTGGACTAGAGGAACAGACGCAGTCAAACCGTATTTTTCTCTCATTTATATTAATGGCAATCAAGCTCCCTACCCCCCAAAAGCAAGACCACCCCACACTTTCATTAAATTAACAAAATTTGTAATTGATGTTATTTAAACGTTTTCATGGAATTTTTGGGTCTGTCATGTGTAATTTTTAAAAGTTATTGTTCTACAGACAAGCAAATACTGCTGAGTTGATTGAATGGCCTTGTTTCATTTGACCAAAAAGATTTGGCCAAAAAGATCACTAATGAAATCCTGGTCGGACATATCCATTGTAGAAGAGTATATGGAAACAATTTACTACATTT